GTCGATGTGTCTCTCTCGCTCTCCCTCCTTTCCTCCCATTTATCTAAAGATAAATGAAAAAATATCCTCAGGCGAGGATTAAAAATAAAACCTAAATTATCCCCCCACAAACTGAAATATGTTCGTGTACATATACATAAATATAAATATGTTTATATAAAATACATGAACAAATACTTTTCTAATAAGTAAGTTATTATATAGATGCCAGAAGCAAATCAATAATTAATTTGATAACATTTACATTCCAGTACAATTTTGAAAAGGCCAGGATAACAGGATGCTGTGCCTCCTTCATGGGGGCTCTTGTGAATAGATCCTGGTTGTTCTCTTGAAAAATTTTTTTCTTTATTGATTTTAGAGAGAGAGAAGATGGAAGAGGGAGAGAGAAGTAGAAACATCGATGAGAGGGAACGTCGATTGACTGCCTCCTGCATGCCCCCAACTGGGGATTTGGCCCACAACCTGGGCACATGCCCTGACTGGAAATCGAACCGGCGACCTTTTGGTGCGTGAGTTGACGCTCAACCACTGAGCCACACCAGCCGGGCCTGGTTATTCTCTTTTAATTGAGGCCCCAACACTGGCAGGGCACTAGCACTGTTCTTCCAACTGGCTTTAAGCTATGAGCAGTCAACCATGAGAAAAAACTAGGAATACTGAGAATATGAGTCAGGTTTGAAAGTAAAGAAATTCTTTTCCTTGCTGGTTCATGGGATTTATCTCCTCATTTCACATATGCCTTATGAAGGCCTGGATTGCATAGATGGGTTCGCCTTGGAAAGTCATCAACTCTCACCTTCCTTTTATTGGCAGCTTCGTGCTGAGCTGAGTTCACATACCTGCAGTGAGAGCAAACCTGTTACCTCCCATTGGGCGGCTATGACTGTTAAAGGTGTCTTCCTTTAATTAAACTAAAATCTGTCATCCCAGGTGACCAACTGTTCTTGTTTTCCCAGCAATGTCCTAGATTTGACAAAAAAATTCTGCATCCTGGGGTACTCCTCGGTCCTGACCAACCGGGACAGTTGGTCACTCTCCTTTGTTTTCATCTGTTGGCCCTATTCTCCAGCGTGGGCTATGCAAACAAGTACTATTTTTTCCCCCCAAAAATAACATTCATTTTGACACATTTAAGGTACATTTCTCTTACTTTAGAAATTCTCAGCTGACATAGTTTTAGATTCTTTATTTTCCACTTGATCTGCTCAGACTATGCTGTCCTTTGCTGAGGGAGGAGTTTTTGTTTCTGTCCACATGTTTCCATGAAGGAAGGAAATATTCCTTCTCTGCAGGGATAGGGTGGTTGTGAACACATCTGTTGTTTCTCCGTCCACTTTTCCCCTAATCCTTACTGAGAGCAAGAGTTGCAGCTAATCTGATGCTTGAGAATCACAACCTTTGGGCTAAGATTCTCACAGTAACCAGGATTACTTTACCTCAAAGGTGATAAACAGGCTCTCTCCTGTCTCTCTCACTGTCTACCTCAGCCTTATGGATCACACACCGCCACTCCTTCCTCCTTCTTACTTCCAAGAAGTAAGCACAGTAGGGGCAGGAAGGAGCCTATTTCATAGAAGCAGCCAGAAAGTTCCATGATGTTGCCTTCATTTCCAATTTTCCTAATTTCTGGGTGAGTAGGCCAGGTCAGCCATACCCTGTAAGCCTGGCTGTTTTTAATTTAGAGCGGCTGAGGGAGGAGGCCCATTTCTTTCTCCCGTTTGTCTAGAGAGAGTTGCAGTAGTGATGGAAAGGAGGAGCAATCTTTGAACTTCAAGTCCATTAAGCTGGAATTTTAGGCACGATGCCCAGAACTGAGTATAATACTCCACATGTGACAATTTTTGTGTGTGTGTGTTCCAGATACAGCACTCTTTTAATCCAGGCAATGACTACATCAGTTACTTTACTGACTTCATCTTACAGTCCTAGTTTTCTTACTGATGGCTAAAATCTCTGATAAGGAACACATTTCTCCCCAGATTTCTGCATTGGTGTATGACAGTCCAAAGGTTCGACAACCTCTGCACCTGCCACTCCATAACTCATGGCTGTGAGCCTCCTGCCCCCAATATTCCAGTATAATGACTCCATTAAGGTCACTGGTGATTTCTAGTGGACAACGATCTTCATTCCTCGCTCTCTGCCTTATCACTATTCACTTACCCTGGGTCATCTCCTTTAAACCAATGGCCTTTATTTACCACTTATGTAGTGATAATTCTCAAATCTATAGTTACAGCCCAGATTTCTTTCTCAACCTCCATATTCATGTAATCCATTTGCCGGTAAGATAGCTCTATCTGGATACCTGCACTTCAAATTCGACACGTCCCAAATCAAGTTCATTATCTTGGTATGAGATTCTGAATTTATTCTAATACTCCCTATTTCAGAAATTGGCACAACTATTTGTGTATTCTCCCAGGCCAGAAACCTGGGTACCATTCTTAATTCTGTTCTCTTTTTCTTTCTCTGCCTTCGCTTTGTCTTGTTAATCCTACTTTCTAAATACATTTGCATCTCTCTATTGCTCTTGGTTCCCCAGTCAGGACCTTCCTGTGCCCTTTTTCCTTGGTACTGCTTCAGTAGCTTCTGCACTGTCCTCTTTGTCTTCAGGCTTACCACTCTCAGTCTCCACATTGTTGCCAGAGTAACCTCAGCTTTTAAAATACTCTAATGAGCTCCATATTCTTCAGAATAAAGATCAGGCATGTAGGTTTAACACAGAGTGCTCTTCATGTCTTGTCTCCTGACCATACTTCAGCCTCATTCCACGCCACCCTCCCATTTCTGGTACCCTCTTTCCTACCTCTTTCCTCAACAATGTGCAAGTTCATTTCTGCACACTGCTGCCTCCACCTGGAGTGCCTTCCTCCCCTTCCCCTGTCAAGTCCCAGCCCACTTGTCCTTCAGAATCATATCAGGGGTCATAGTCTCTAGAAATCTCTCCTGATCTCATCTTCCTTCATTATCAGCCAGTCTCATCTTTGATGCTCCTATTGGAATCTAACCAAAACTTATGCCAGAGTGAGTAGCCGTTTCAACTTGCCACTGAGTGGCTCAGAAGGTCTTTGGGTGGGGTACAGAATTTTCTATAGAAAGCCCCTCTACATTCGTTTACAAAGACGAATTATCGATATTCCAAAGCTCTATACTATAGACTGTGATAGATATAATATGTCCTAAAATATTTTCAAAGGTGGAGTTGCCAATTGCCTGTCAGTCATAGGGCATTTTTAGGAGTTTGCTCAAGAAACATCTATTTTGGCAAAAGAGCTTCCCACTGAAAATGCCAAGGTGCTAAGTGACCACAGGAATGATTTGTTAGATGGAATTATTAAATATAAACTAATTGAACCAGGGAATAGCTGTCAAAAATAATGATTTTTACCTTCAGAATTATTGGTCATAACCTATTCTTCTTAACAATCATTAGACAGCTAAACAAGTAATTGTCTATTGCTGCTGTTAGTTCATGCCAATAAAAGTATGTCATCAGTGTATGGAAGGGATATTTTTCTTTATCTCTATAGCTCGAGAATGTGCTTTCAAATCATCCAAAGGGGGCTTTATGTCATCATAGTATTATTTTAAAAGTTTAAATTATGGCTCGGTCAGTGTGGATTGGTGGTTGAATGTTGACCTGTGCACCAAGAGGTTGCCTGTTTGATTTCCAATCAGGGCACATACCTGGGTTTCAGACGCAATCCCTGGTAGGGGGCATGCAGGAGGGAGCCGATCAATGTTCCTCTCTCATCCATGTTTCTATCTCTCTCTCTCCCTTCCTCTTTCTCTAAAAAAATCAATAAAAACATACTTTTAAAAATCAATAAAAACATGTTAAAAAAAGTTTAAATTACGGTTTGATCTTTTAGAGAGCTTTCTGCAGATCCCAAGTCTGATAGTGGAGCTAAAGAGAAGTTCCTGTATAAGGGTTGCCAGCTTGGGGACATGGGCTTCACCTATAATTGCTCCTGGTCTGCAGAGTTAAAGGTCAAGGACAGTCAACAATCTTTCTTTTTGTACCAAAATGACTGCTAGTGCTACCAGTGCTGTGTTGTGCGTTTCTCTTGACAAAGGTCTTCACAAGATGATTAGAGAGGGGATGCAAAAGATTGTAAGTTCTGCTCTATTAGCCTAAAAATTAGAATTGAAGAATCATAAGGGTGATACGGAGTGTCCAACAACAAATCTGGTTGTAGTTCTGGATTTGTAAAGAATTTCTTATTTTTACAAGTGAGATAAATACTATTTCACACTCAGCCAGACAGTGTCACCCCTAGATTTAATAAAGACCAATACATAAGTTTTCAAGAGTTAGAACCCATCAGTGAGAACAAACAAATCCATATGTTAATATTAAACATTGATAATAAACAGAGAAAAATAAGTCTTGGTGCAAGGTAGAATCTGGACTTCTGTTGGCTTTACCAGATCCACATCACAGATGAATTTGTCTCTATTACACCTAAATATTTAATGTTTAATCAAATTAATAAATGCCCAGAAAACTGTCAAAGAATATTTTATTACTAAAATTATTATAAAAGAACATTTAATGAAAAAAAGAAAATATGTAAATGAAAATAACAAAAATATGTAGTATGATCTTAAACCTTTTAAAATGCACAGATATGTCTATAAAAACATTGAAGAATTTTTATTTTTTAAATTTTATTATTTTATCCTCACCCAAGGACATTTTTTTTTTTTTTTTGCTTTTATCTTCAGACAGAGCTGGAAGGAGAGTAGGAGGGAGAGAGAGAGAGAAACATCGATATGAGAGAGACACATTGAGTGGTTGCCACCCACATGACCTCAACCGGGACAGGGACAAACTGCAATTGAGGTACATGTCTTCAGCGGGAACTGAACCTGGACTCTCCGGTGGGCGGGCCGAGGCTCTAACTGCTGAGCCAAACTGGCCAGGGCTGAAGAATTTTTTACAAAGATATTTTATTTGCTGTCCTGAGGGTGCTGGACCTGTCAGCACCGCAGATGCAGCTGCATGGGGCAAAGAGGCTATTTTTATGCTCAGTGCTCAGGACAGTGGGCACTAAGAATGGTTTGTGGCCCGACATGCCTCAGTTCCCGGCCAGCTGGCATTTGTTCCATGTGCAGGCACACTCAGACCTGGGCTTGGGCTTACAGTTGGGAACCCCAGGAGAGAGCCTGGCTTTGTTTCCTTCCTCTGTGGAGAGTCCAGTGTTGTCACAGCCTGACAAGATTAGATCAGTGGTTCTCAACAGGGACAGCTTGTGTGACCCTCCCAGGACATGTGCATGACATTGTCTGAGGATATCAAATGGGCGGGTGCTCCTGGCATCTAGTGGGCAGGGGCCAGGGATACTACAGTGCACAGGTGGTACCTCAAATGCTGATAGTGCTGGGGTTGATTTGTCCTGCTACAGAATCCCATCAGAAGACAACTCTGAATGTGATTTGGGGCATCCAGGAATGCCTGTCCAGTGGCTCACCCTCCACCCTGTATCATATCAGGGAAAAAAAAAAAAATACACACACACACACACACACAATTTGTTTGTATATTTTGAAGAGTTAAACTGTGGGAAAGTGACCAAATACATCTGACCATGTTTTAAAATCCACCCTAAGAGGTATGGTAGGCAGATCCAAGCACACCTGTGCCACAGACCACCGAGGATGGGTGTACGAAAGAACAGTCTTCTCTCATGTGTGATATCAGTTTCTGGTTTCAGCTATTTTTAGTGGGGAGTTTTTTACACAAGTTGACACAGCTGGTTCTAGAAGAATGGCATGGGGAGACAATCCCTCTCTGCCACACCGATCCTGGCAGAGCATGGTACCCTGGATAATGAGGCTGCACAGAGCAGTTCTCAACTGTACTGTGACTGTTTATTTGTATTCTCCACTGTACAGCTGTGATAATTATTTCTCGATGACCATATGTCTAGAGAAGCACAGGATGCCCCCATGCAGAAACGTGTGCCGTTTTCACTGAACAAAGGGTGTAGGGATTGGTTTGGGAAGATGAAGCAATTGTTGCTGTCTCTGTCATAGGGTATGTGGGCACGTGGAGGGAAGTCACTGTGAACATGTGTGTTTGTGCTTGTGAGTGAGCTCATGGGAATGAAGACGATGCAGGTGGTTTGGTCTAGACTCTACAAGGTTGAAGGGCTTCAGCAGTGTGGGTGGACGTGGCCCATCATGATCCTATTTAAAAAGGGATAGAAAAAGGAAGGCTTTTTTGTTTCTGATGTTGGGCTCATTTGAACCTCTTTGTGCTTCCAGAAATCAGGCAGCAAGGGCTGAGTCCTGAGAATCCTGAGTGAGGGAGTGAGATGTGTGAGTGTGTGTGTGTGTGTGTGTGTGTGTGAGTCCAGCTTCTATTGTGAGAATCCCTTGCTAACAGGCCTTAGGTAGGAACTCTACCAGGGACTGCAGTCCAGTGTTGTTCTGAGATACTCCTGAGGAGAAGAACTTGTGAAGAACAAACACATCAGCTGGCAGAGGGCTCCTTTCCATCGCTGTCGATCAGACCGGCTGAAAGTCGTCTCAGCAGCAGGAAATTTATGGCACTTTAGGCTGCGGCTTTGAGGCTTCGCCTCATTTCAGCTCTTCATAGAGGAGCTGATTTTTATAAAAACAAAAAATGGATTCTTGAGGTCAGGATTTCCTTTCTGTTCTTTAAGATTTCTTGAAAAGGCTTAAGAAGGTTAAACAGTTGCGACATGAGCAAACAGTGAAAGGCACAATAGTGTTAGAGTAAATAAAGGAGTCTTTATTTACAGTGGTTTCTGCATGAATCAAACTGTATGCTTTCAAACATAATTGATATTCTTAGGTGGAATGATGGCTTGGTTCCCATCAGTGTACTGAATGGACTAGTGCCAGCCTGTAAGAGATATTGATTAAATCGAAAGAAACGACACCAGCAGAGGAGGGCAAATAATCCATATTAAAATACCAGCACAAACTTGAGTTTGGGAATTATTTATGACCTTGAAATTCAAAAGGAATGGCCAGGGTGCACATATGAGCACATACAGATGATTTATCTCAGCATCTAGTGACAACTTGGCTTTCCATTGGTTTAGGAAAATGGCAATTCTTAGGTGGAATTGTGTACATCTGCTAGGAAGATAATGATGATTTGCCTTGGAAATAGTATAAATAAACAGTATGAATAAAAAATAACAATTCATAAATGGAGGCCCTCTTTTTCCTTTTCAGTTTTTCTCAGCAGAAAAATTAACTATTTCAGAGAGTAAGATGGATAGGATTTATTGATAGAGTGGGTTGCAGAAGAATCTTTCTTTTTGAGTTTCCAGCTCTTATGGGCAGAAATGCAAAATTCTTTCAGTTACTGAAAAGCATTGGAGTGTGATGACAAAGCCTAAGTGATGTCCTGCTTTTAGTCAGGGAGGGGGTTCTGTGTGTCCCTTGTGTACCACAGAAAGAACAAATGTACACACACTTCCATGACATTGGGCTGTCTTTCTCTAAATGTTTTTGTTCTACTGTCAGTGGTGTGAAGGAAAAAAACAACAACAGAAAACCTGTAACTCATAAAAATCACATTTCTCCATTTCATTTCAAGTACAAGTTTTGTTCCAGAGACATATTTAAAGTAGAGAATAGGACGAAATATGTTTTATGTTCCCATTCATCTTTAAAATAGCCTCACAACACTGTGAACTTGAGACCAGACAATTACTTGGCACATAACCCATGCAGACACCAACCTCGACAGAATTTAAGGGAATCCTTCTCCAAGGGTGAGGTGTTCTTGAACAATTCACCGGAAGCATTAGGTACAAACGCACTTCTTCTCTGCACCTCACGCAGGCCAACCTTCTTGCCTGCCCGTTTTCACGTGTTGTAAATGGTTTTGTTTGTTTCCTGTTTCACTTCTTAATTGGAGTCTCACCAATTAAGCAAATATGGGAATAGTCCTCATATGTGTAATTCAAATCCCCTCAGAGCATTTTTCTTTTTCTTCTTTTTGTGGATGTTTATTTGACATTAACCATAACCTACATAATTCTTCAAATATCATAAACCTTATAGAAAAAGAGCCTTATTTAGCTCACTTTTTGCTCTAGCTCCACAAAACATTCTCTGAGCATGAATTACTGGTATGAAGAACAGCGTTTATTTCAGCCCAGTGCTGGGCCTTACTTTATGGCCAAGTAATATAATCAACGGCTTGCCTACTTGGGGAGACTCTTAGTTGCCATTGCGAATCCTTAAGGGAGCAGGTAGAAACATCCTTCTCCACACACACACACACACACACACACACACACACACACACACACACTTCATTTGCTGACGTTATTCTTGCAGCATATAAAGAACTGGGAGTATGATTCTAAAATTGCCCTAACGTGATGCCCTTTAACTGCCCCTTGCCTAAGAAAACAGATGATTCTCATACGTTTTCCTGTAGAACTGTGTCAGGGGACATTTTCAGGGCTCCGTCTCCTAAACTCACTCCCTCGGTCTTGTCCTCATTCTTTTAGAGACTCCCAGCTTCAGATCTCATTTTTCTATCTGACTTTGGTCCTGATGATTTAGGGATCCCCTTGCTTTCCAGCATGTCTATATGTGATATTGTGATTTCAAGTAAGAAATACATATTTGGTCTTCATCCTCATTGCTGGCACAAAGCTCCAAAAACCCTTGGAATTTCCTAAGTGTAGACAGTGATCAAGGTACATTTTTTTTTTTTTTTATCCTCATTCGAGGACATTTTTCCATTTTTTGTACAGAGTGGGAGGGAGAGAGAGGAAGAGAGAGAGAGAGAGAGAAACATCGATGTGAAAGGGACACATCGAGTGGCTGCCACCCGCACGACCAACCAGGGCCGGGGACAAACTGCAACCGAGGTACGTGCCCTTAGCGGGAACCGAACCCGGGTCTCTCCGGACCGCAGGCGGACGCTCTAACCTCTGAGCCAAACTGGCCAGGGCAAGGTGCATTTTTTAATGTAAATGCATGACATTAGGAAAGCCCCTTGGTAACCTCAGAAAGGAGGCTGGCTGCCAGTAGAACCAGCCATGTGATTAGAGGGTTGGATTCAATACCTACCCCTATCTCCCCAGGAAGGAAAGAGGGCCTGGAAATTGATTTCAGTCACCAATGGCCAGTGATTTAATCACATCTCCATAAAGAAGCTTCCGTAAAAACCCCAAAGGATGAGGTTCATAGAGCTTGTGGGTTGGTGCAGGAGTGGGATGCAGAGAGAGGGATGCGCTGAGAGAGAGCGTGTGGGGCCCTGCGCCCTTTCCCCACACTTGGCCTCATGTGTCTCTTTCTCTGGCTGTTCCTGAGTTATATTCTTTTATAATAAACTGGTAATCTGGTAGTAAGTGAAGGTTTTTCTGAGTTCTGTAAGGCAATTAATCAAATTCTAGTAAATGAATCAAACCCAAAGAGAGGGTTGCTGGGACCCCTGATCTAGAATTGGAAGCATAGGGGGTGTTTTGTGTGTACCTGGAAGAAAGAGAGTTAGAGAGAGGAGCTTTCTCATTAATTTACTTAGCACCCATCTTAAGTCCCTTTTTTTCACTCTATAAAGTAGAACACTTCAAAATGACTTCCATGCATTTAGCTTTTATTGTCACCCACTCAAATGCAGCCTTGGTGGCTTGTGTGTCTCAGTGACAATTTGAGAAAGACTGAACCAAGGTGCTTCTCCCCATTTGCTGCCTTTCATGACTTTTCCTTGTGCTCAGCTTTCTCAACAGCAGGGACATGGCCACCAGATCACCATCCCTAAAGCAAGCCAACATCAGGAGACACCATCCATGGGTCTCCTCAGGAAGCTTGACCATCCATGGGAAACGAGTTCTCGGGCACCCGCCCTTTGCCCTACCTCCTGGTGGTGTACTCAGTGCCCGCCATTTCCACTGAGGGGCAGAGGATGTGGAAGTCAGGATCAGGCAACCAGCGTAGAAACTGCTCAGCGTTCTGCCCGGCTGGTGTGGCTCAGTGCACTGAGTGTCACCCCACGGACTGCGAGACCCCGGTTTGATTCCCAGTCAGGGAACATGCCTGGGTGGCAGGCTTGATCCCCAGTAGGGAGCATGCAGGAG